TTTTTTTTTTTTTTTTTGAATGGGAAAAGCTTTGTTTACACACATTTTTATTTTAGAATTTATTACAAATTTATTTACCATTATTTTTGTTTTGTATTTTTTTCTCACCACTAATGCATATTTATTAATTAGACATTTGTTTTTGTTTTTTTTTTCAAATGGGAAAAGCTTTGTTCATTTTTATTTTAGAATTTATTTTACAGATTTATTTATCATTATTTTTGTTTTGTTTTTTATTTCTCACCACTAATGCGTATTTATCTGAAACTTTGTTTTTCACGGGACATGTCGCCGATAAGATAATTGTCACTTCCTTTTTTTTGACATTGAAAGTTATTGTCACATATCTTGTATACTGGACATAACTAATTCAGAAAAAATTAGATCAACAGATTCAGTTCGCAGTCACATGCGTCGTTAAGTGGTTTTTTTTTTGTTTTTTTTTTTGCAATAAAATCAAAGTAAGAATTTATTGAGACATAACTCGCAAGTAATTGGTTGAAATGGGATGAACAAGAGAGTAATAATATATAATGACGGCTTATTGTGATGTCACTCCTCGTGAGTTCTGCACGTTGGCGAGTTTACCGCATGAGAGTATCAGAGTTCAAGTGTTAAACGGTTGAGTGATCCTTAAGTACTATTCCAGCGTATATATCTTTCAGCCATGATATTTTAATTCCGAGGAAGAGAGTTTTATATCACGACAAAACTGATATTGTGTATAAGAGACAGAGATTTTTTTTTATTTAATTGCGACAAATTGTTCTACTTAATTAGAGAGAGATTTTATGTTAATTTTTAAATTACTTATATAAAAATTTACACGCATACGTAAGCAAGAATTTGAAAGACTTTTAATATTTAAATATTTTAAAATTAGTTAAGAGGGTATTGGGGACCCTGCATATATAAGATGCAATATTAGCGTCATATTTGATTTAAACAATTGTTATTTCAATTCCAAAAAACTCGACGTGAAAAATATTACACGTGAATACATATATATATATATATATATATATTAGGTCTACCGGAAAGTTCTGTCCGTTTTTGGAATAAAACAAAATACAAATTTTTATTACCGTCAATAAACTTTATTAAGTAATATAATTGCCATTATTATTAATGATTTCTTGCCAGCGTGAGGGCAATTTCTATATCTCATTTTTGAAAAATTAAGAAAAATTTGTATTTTGTTTTATTCCAAAAACGGACAGAACTTTCCGGTAGACCTAATATATATATATATATATATATATATATATATATATATATATATATGCATTCATATATATATATATTCTCACATTTACTTATTTTTTTTATATATATATTCGCACAACATTGTGCGAACGGCTCTTCATGTCCTTATATTCACATATTATTAGTTTAAAAGACTTATAGAGCCTGTAGAGTAATCTCTATTTATCACTAATATTTTTAATATTTACTTTAAAATGCAATTTAAATTTAAGCAATTAAATACAAGTGCAATGAGATGATTGTAAAAATCTTCGTAAGAGCTTTACTGAACGTGTATTTGAATATAAGGTGTAAATAACCCAAACAAAAGTAACTGTATTTCAAACGTTTCGACTATAGTTTTAGTCCTCTTCATTGTCTGCATATTACAATTATAATACATAATTTGGCAACAGATATAAATAATGCGTAAATTGAAAAAAAATATAATAGAAGAAAAAACAATCAATAACGAATAAAAATACCTTTAGTCTTAAACAAATTATAATAACTTACAACGAATTGTAATATGCAGACACTAGAAGAGGACTAAAACTATAGTCGAAACGTTTGAAATACAGTTACTCTTGTTTGGGTTATTTACACCTTATATTCAAATACACGTTCAGTAAAGCTCTTACGAAGATTTTTACAATCATCTCATTGGATTTACCAATTCTGAACCAGAGGCATCCCTCACTTTTTAAATATAAGTGGTTTTTTTGTTTTTAAATCGAGAAAGATTGAAATGATTGTTTTTTCTTACTTATTTAAGGGCGAAAAGAATAATGGATTTGATGTATTGTACCATAACATGAAGCATGGTGTGCTCGCCAGCAAGGAATTGGCTGAATTTTTGCGCGAGAGATCAGCCATTGAAGAAAACAATTACAAACTTCTTAGTAAGGTGGCAAAGCAGGCGAGCAATAGCACCCAAGGAACATTCGCACCTGTATGGGCCGCTCTGAGAGGTGCCGCTGAGAAACTCGCCGTTCTGCACTTGCAGATGGCCCAGCGGGTCAGCGAACTCATAAAAGATGTGTCAAAATACGCGGACGAACTGCATAAGAAGCACAAGGCTGTATGTAATTTTAAAAATTTTTCTCTAACTTTACTCCGGGGGCTGTGTTGCACCATTTCGAACTAATATATAATATACTTGATGTTTCTCTATTTCTTCGATCGTGACTTTATTAAATATAGAGATACGTAGTTAATCGCTTAGTTACAATTGCTACGCGTTCTTTCTGATATAAAATGCATTTTGTTATATATGTGTTTCATACGTTATCAGTATCCGCCCACGGACGGGTCAGTAGGATTTTCATCGTCAGACAATTAAAGTCGGTGCGATACGCAGAAATCTTATCTGTCATACCGTGCGCACAAATATATATATATATAAATATATATATATATAAATATATATATATATATATTTATATATATATATAATAATACAATATATAATAATATATATAATAATACAAATATAAATATATATATATACATTTGCCAACTAATTGCGTTCATTAATTGAATTTTAACAATTAACGCAACACTGGTTGCAAACCCCCATGAAATAACAATACGATTATTGATGTGACGATCTAGGTGAAGGAAGAAGAATCTTCTACTTTAGAAGTTGTACAGAGTATACAAAGCATTACGGTTACGTTGCAAAAAGCAAAAGACAATTGTTTGCAAAGGAGTCTCGAATTAGAGAAATTGAAGAAGGACAGTGCCAGTCAGAGGGAACTGGACAAGGCGGAGGCCAAGTTCAAAAAAGCGCAAGACGATTACAAAGCTCTTGTGGACAAATACACAATTATAAGAAACGATTTCGAGACAAAAATGACTCAGGCGTGCAGGGTATTGATGTATTTAGTTTTAGATGAAATTGTTAAAAAAAGTTTTTAAATTGAAAGTTTTATATAGTTTCGCCAGAATGTAACAATTATCGCTTAATCTTTTATACTTCTTTGTTATCAAGCGGTTTCAAGATGCGGAGGAGACGCATCTTAAGCACATGAAGGAGTTCTTAAACACATACGCCGATGTTTTGCAAACTAATCACGAGCAAGTCGGTCAGGTGCATATAGATTTCAAACGTCAATGCGTTGACATGACGGTGGAAAAGTTGTTGGAACAATTCGTTCAGAGCAAGTACACGGGTTTCGAGAAGCCAGGTATAAACCAAACGCCAATCTCAGACGAAACGTTTCATTACTTTTCTGGTTTATTTTTTTTTCGTTTCTTTTTCACCGAACGAATATCGTTAAAAATCAGGTGTGATCGAGTATGAGGAGGTCATGACCAGTTTGGCGGAAATGACCAGCCACTCTCAGTCCGAGGGCAGTGCGGAGACACCTAAGGAAACGTCGAAGGGCACCAACGGCGAAACAGGCGTAGCCGGTAACAATCACAGTTCAAAGAAAGATCAGGGATTAAAAGGGGAGGGTGGTACTTTAAAGATACTGGATGGGGAAAAGGGGAGGGTAATACTGGAAAAGGATAGAGAAAAAGAAAGACAAAAGGAAAAGGACAGAGAATTGTCACATGCACAAGCCACCAAGGCTTCCCGCCGTACTACCTCGCTACTCAACCTGTTCATGTCCAACTCCCAGGGTAGGTTTTTCTCTCTCTCTCTTTCTCATTGCAGTTACGTAGATTTTTTTTTTTTGTTTTTTTTTTCAGAGTCATTTATCTCTTTAATTGCGATAGTTTCGGTCTGCCGCGGTTTTGATGCAACAAAGTGCTGTATCTTTCCATCTTTCTGATAGTATTTTATTTCGTGATACTCTCACACATGGTTTCCACATTTATGAATCCATGCGAAAGGATGATAAATTTTCGATTTCCAACAATAAATCAATTTTTTTGTACAAAGAACGTGAGAATTTTCGGCAATTATATATCAGCATAACGTTGCATGTAGGCCTGGTAGGCTGTTGTTATTATTTTTTTAATTTTATATATCGGTAGTGCCATATCATTGTGGTTACACGTTATACTTGCTCAATTGAATTTGCAGCACTCAATCACAGATATATATCAGTTTAAATACAAAATACAGTTTTTATCGACTTATTTTATGCTTTATGTGGTTGATTGTGTTTTTATACTTGCTTTTGCGTAACGATCTAACATTAGGTGGAGGATGGCATATGGAATACCATTTGTGTTCCAGGGGATTTAATTTTTTTTTATCTTGATTTGATTGTTTTTATCATATATTCTCTTGTATGTGAACATATATATTATGCAGATACATCTTATTTTGCGTTTTACTGCGCATATGCGAAATAAGTGAAAACGAATAAGGGTTGTGTAAACACCAAGGTTGGGTAAGTTAAATTTTTTGTTTTTATTTAAGTTAAGTTACAGTTAAAGGTCTTAAAGATTTTATTTAGTTAAGATATAAGTTAATCCACAATGAAATTAATTGATTAAAAGTTAAGTTAATAAAAAAAATAATTAACAAGTTAAAAGTTAAATTTTTTTTCATGATTTTAGTGTTTTAGTCTTACAAATAATTACAAACATTTACAGTGTTTT